AGGAAGGGCAAGGGATAGAGAGTCAGAAGCATCGATGAGAAACATCGATCAGCTGCCTCCTGCACCCCCCCCATTGGGGATGTGCCCTCAACCAAGGTACATAATGCCCTTGACCGGAATCGAACCTGGACCTCTTCAGTCCACAGGCTGGCCGACACTCTATCCACTGAGCCAAACCAGTTAAAGCTGGTCTTTTCTTTAAGGGCCTCAATCTAAGTAAGCCGTGGAGGAAGTGGGGGGAGGGGGGGAGGTTATCTCTTGCTAAGGAAATACCAAGGACTAACTGCCCAGGGGTATCAGAGAGGACTTCAGGGAAGAGGCAATATTGAAGATGGGCCCTGAAGGATGAGTAGAGTTTATTAAGAAAAGAAAAAGAACATTGCAGGTAGAGGGAATAGCAAAGGCATAGAGTTAGGAAAAGCCACAGCAATGCCCAGGGAACATCAGGAGGAAATTTTTTGGAGCAGGGCTGTCAAAGTTGATCAGATATAAAATTACCTGGTAGTCAATGTATATCTTCAAATACTAATTTCTACAATAAACAAGTGGTAGCAGATAGTAGAGGAAAAATGTATGGGATGACAAACAAAAATGGGGAAAAATTTTGCTTTTAGCAATAAAACAGCTAGGTTTACTTCAAAAAATTACTAAATACCAGGTATGGTGCAAGGAACCTGGGGACCTTAGGGTGAAGGAGACAGACAGTATCCCTGTCTTTTTGGAGCTTACCACCTGGTGAGGAAATCAAGATTATCATACTTAATTGTATGATGCGTGTTATGACAAAAATACAGATTATTGGGAAACCTCCAGCAGACTCAACTTGTTAGGGAGTCCAGGAAGGCCACTCATAAAATGTGATGCTTAAGAGCATTATCTGTGACTTCCAGGGATGAATGCAGTGTGCACATGGGACAAAGGAGGAAGGGAGTTGCTGTACAAGAGGTTGGAAAACAGTTCAATATGATTCCTGCACAAAATTCCAAAATACAATGCATAGAGGAAGAAGCTCAGGTCTCTAGGCTATAATCCAATGATCAGCTTCTACAAATGAAGGCTGCTGTAAAATTATTAGGAATCTAGAGGCCCGGTGCACAAAAATTTGTGCACTCGGGGGGTAGGGGGGTCCCTCAGCCCGGCCTGTGCCCTCTTGCAGTCTGGGACCCCTCGGGAGATAACGACCTGCTGGCTTAG